TATAATTAAAAATAATAAAATATTTGATGTAGATCAAATGCAATTAAGAAATCATTAAACAAAAAATAATAAATTCTTTTTAAACCAAATATTCACATAACCAAATATTTTTCTAATTCTATAATTTTTTAAATGAAATACTTTATTTAATTATTTTTTAAATTACAGACAAGACAGTCTAATTTTTTATAATTATTTTTATATTTTAAAATAATTTTTCTTTCCTAATTTAAACTTTTTAAATAATTTTTATTAGTTAAAAATATTAAAATTATCTTTTATGAAAAGTTGAAGTTTTTATTTTATTTTTATAAGTTTAAGAATAAACTATATAAAAAATTAATTTTTAAATAAATTGAATATTATTTTCAAATTGAAGACGCAAATTAAAATTTATTAAAATTTTTAAAGTACACAGAAAATGGAAAAATGCAACAAACTTCAGTTTTCGTTGCATCAGCACCGCCTACAATACATGTGGCCAACTGTCTAAGGTATAAACACTAACGTATGATAAGAGATTATCTAAGTTGATAAAATTTCCAGTCATACAGCCGCACGATACATGGATCGTATAATCTTTTTAAGAAAATTATTGTAATCTATATTTGTGCTATTTTAATTTAAATAATTTTTTTATGTATTTTTGATTAATTTATGAAAAGTAAAATTATACATTTTTTTAATTCTCAAGTAATGTGCTGAAATATTAATTAACACAATTAATTATTATAATAAAATTATTGTAATTCAATTGATATATTTAGTTAATTTTTTATTTTTTTTTCTCTTTGAAATTTTTATACATTCAAATTAAATGAAGTATGAGAATATTTAATTTTAATGAAATAAATTTTAATGAATTGAAATTAATATTTTAGTTCTATTTATTAATCTAACTATATTATTTAATTAATTTTTATTAACTATGACTTTATTATAACTCTGCTATTTTAATTTTGAATAACAACCATTTAATAAACAAATTAATCTTTATTAAATGCAAAAAATATTAATTATAATGAAATCCTCTATTAAATTTATTAGTTTGTAACTCCATTGTTTAATAAAAAATTTTAATTTTATTAAATGTAAAATAAAATGTTACATCATCATTTCCATATTCTAATGTTTTACCATGTAAGCATTTATACTTTCGAAATTATATATTTATATAGATAGATGGATATGTATATAGAATAAATAATTTTTTAAGCCCTTGAATTTTGTCATAATAATAACTTTGTCTCTATTGTTTTATTCATATGTTGATTATTAGTTTTTAAAGTTTACTTTATTAGATTATTTATCCTTCATACATGTGTATTTTTATGATTAACTGAGAGACTACATAGTCATTTAATAGTAAATGCGGATGAATGGTCAAATATATAAATATTACAAAGTATATAATCTCTAAGGAGCACATTTTGAATAGAAGAACTAAAAATTCATTTGGTCTAACTCTTCGCGCCAGCTATTAACTGATAGCGGTTAATAATTATATATAATTGGTAGTTGAGGCAAACGTTATTGAAATGTTAAATAATTTTTAAGAATGTAATTATTTTTAATATATTGCCATTATCACGTGTGTGTGTGTGTATATATACAGTTAATTAATTAGTTAATTATAATAATCATTCACTAAATACGAGGAATAAAATTATAATTAATACCAATAGGAGGAATGGAGTAATTTTTTACCTTTATATACTCTCTCTATATATACACATTAGAAGGTTTAACGGACTAAATTAAATATAATGGACTATATAATAGAGATACATTTCTCGTTAATTTACCGAAAATATTTATAATAAAGAAAATTTAAATTTGAGATCAACACTCTCCACGTCAGAGAGAATATTGCTACGAACATTACTAGTTATCGGAGAAAATATATATTTTAAAGTGGAAAATTGATAAAGCAATATATATATATATATATATACACACAAATGCACAAACCTACATTTGGTCAGTTTAATAATCATGACCGCAAAATTAGGTTGAAAGTGAGAAATTCCTTCTGACCAACGAAAATCTAACAAACAAAGAGCTGAGACGCTGCACAAACTGCTGTTAATTAATTAAAAACGTACAAAAAGAACAAAGAAAAGAAAAAGCAAGGAGAGAGAGAGAGAAAAGAAAAAGAAAAAAACAGGGGCTAAAAAGTAAAAAGAAGTATATATATATACACATATATAAATAGTAATAAATAAAAAGAGCACGGAAATTACGGACTGTAATTACCAGGAATTTAGGAGTGATGTCTACTTCGGCAGTGCTTTTATATATATCGTCGGCAGCAACCAATTTATTTTTCTTATTGTATTATTTATATATATTTTTTTGAGAATATAATATTTATTATTTTTACTTTCCGTTAAATTGATGGGTCCCCTTGAGCATCGAGGTCAAGAGTCACAAGAAAATCACATGACCTTGGGAAGGAGGGCCCACAATTTTTGCCATCCGTGTCATCCTTCTTTCGTGGGCCACTGCGAGTCTGGGGAATTTTCCGTTGCTTTTTTTTTTTTTTTTTTTTTTTTTAGCATCGAGGGTCAAGGAGTCACAGAAATCCACATCATGACCTTGGGAAGGATGCGCCCACCAATTTTTGCCACTCCGTTGTCATCCTTCTTCTCCGTGGGCCACTGCGCAGCTCTAGGGGGGAATCTTTCCGTTCGCTTTTCTTTTTTTTTTTTTTTTTTTTTTTTTAACATTTACTTTCATGGGTCATTTAGATCGATGAGATTTTGAGTACATGAAACTTAAAAACACCACCATGAATTTATTCAGATTTATTTATTCTTGGGCTTAGAAAAATAAACAACTCTACTAAAATTTAAATTTCACAATCCAAACGACACACAATTTTTTTTTTTTTTTTTTTTTTTTTTAAATTTTTTATGAGGTCATTTAGATCGATGAGATTTGAGTAATGAAACTTAAACACACCATGAATTTATCAGATTTATTTATTTGGTTAAGAAAAATAAAATCTATAAAATTTAAATTTCACAATCCAAACGAGCACACAATTTTATTAATAATAGAATTTAAACTATTTAAATTGATTCTGAAAATATGCTTAAATCTATAAAATTTGTTTTCTAACCAATGATGAATATAAAATAAATCCAAGCGTTTTACATTCCATAGATTTTGTGAACTCAGTAGATTTCATATTTCATCAATTTAAATGGGTATAAATTTAAATTTATGAATTTCACGTTAATCATTTGGTTAAAAACATAAAATCCATATAATTGCAGAGTAATTTTCAAATAAAATTAAGTGGTTTAATACCATCTTTAATAAAAAAAATGATAAAATTCAAAAATTCTCTATCTTTCACTATAGTGAAATTGAGGTTACTAGAAAATTTATTTATTTTATAAATTATAAATTATTTTTTCTCAATCAAATAAAAAAATTAATAAACCTATAAAATATTTGAATTTTGTCACTCATATTCTATGCACTCAATTTCTCTCTAAACTTTCATGAAAGAAACTTTGTAATGTCTTTTTTTACTATGCAAAATGAATTTATATTATTTATTCTCTTAATCTAGAGTCACACAGGCAATGAATTAGTCAATTACAATGTTTGGGCTTGCATCAGGCAAAATTTTGGGTAGGGAAGAGAAATATTAGGTAACATCAAACTATAGGGCCTAAAAAAAACCAAAAGGGCCAACAAACATTGCCTGTTTATAAAAGAGGTAGGTTCTATTATTGTCATGAATATTTGGTAAAATTATATTGTTTTAGGTTAGGATTTTTTTATTTTTTATCTTATTTATGGAAGGTTCAATGGGCTGGAATCATTTTATGGGCTACACATTAGGAAATAACCCTTCCCTTTGAATAATATTTACTAAATTTATAATAACTTTTATAATAGAAATTGTTCAAATTCGAGATCTCGTTTCCTGTGTATTTTACAAGAGGTAAGAAAAACAGTTGAATTAGGATTTTAGGTTAGGATTTTTGTTAATTAGTGGAAAGCAAATGAAAATAAAACAGTTGAGCACCAAATGATGAGATGAGATAAGACTCTTCTTTTCCTTCCTCTTCCTACTATAAGGTGGTCCCGAAATACAACTGTCCTTATACTATTGCCATGTGGTGGTTTCTCATCTTATCAAGAACTTGGTACCAATAAAAGATATTATGCTTTCACTTTTTTTTTTTTCTTCCAAAAGTTCCACAACTGTAATGGCTAGGAAAATAAAGCTTGTGATAGCTAAAACTCTCCGAGCTTAATAAACATAACATTTATAGAATCCCAACAATAGTTTAGTCCCATTTTTTACATTGACATTTCAAACTAATGTATGCCACAACTTTATTACCAATCTCCTAAAAAAAAAAAAACACATAAGGGGAACAATATGAGAGAAATAACCATGACTCATAACTATATGGCTGAAATTGAAAACAGTAAATTGCTAGATGTCCTAGTTCCTATTCTTATGACGATTTAACTAATCTCTCTATAGGAACACAATAGGAGATACACTAAAACTCTTGAGGGAACAAGTTCCAAGCATTTCAAATGAAAGGTTTGGGAAATGCTGAATCAATATAAATCATGTTGTTCCATCGCAAGATAAGAAGAGGTTCAGACACATTCCATACAATGCAAATGAACGTATCGCTACGTCTACGTTTGATATCAGCTTTTTAAGTAGTTTCAAAATGTTAAATACTATTTTTTTAGTGTTTGATAAGTTAACATTTGAATTAGCTTTTAGAAATTAAAATAACATTTTATAAAATGTTAACTCCTGTAATATTTAACTTTTAGTGTTTTATTAGAAGCACTCAAATAACTATTAGCTATTCAAATAATTAACAACTACAAAAACAACTAATTTTGCCGAACTGACCCTACATATTCATAGATTCATTGTCCAATGTCTCATTAAGAAAATTCCCACTAGTTGACTTATAAATTTATAAAATATAAATTTTATATCATAATAATTACAGATTTAAAACTTCAATAAAAATTAACATTATAAAATAAATATTTCCTATTCTTGGTAAAGAATAGTGACAACCGAAGATATTCACCTAACCACAACTTATAATGGAAGCTGCCAATGGCATTTGCTTCACGTACGAAACAAAAATCCAAAGAAAAGAAATTCACCTTATCATCACAATTTACAACTGAATGGATACAAATTGATATTCCAATAATAAAAAAGACTGCAACGGTAAAATGATAAACCATAGGAGTGTCAGATTTCAGAAAAAAATTGTTACTTTTACCTTAATACTAAAGAATCTTACCCGGTCCAGCTACTCTAGGCTTTTGATTCGACACCAACCTCTTCCGCAGCTGCTTTTAAGATAGCACGTTTTAACTATAACTATAGTCAAAATGTTTATTTTATTATTTATAGTATTGGGTTGCGTGATTTTATGTTACTGTTTACTTTTCTCTTTTTGAACATTTGAAAAATGCTAATACAATACACCGTAATCATTGAGATAACCAACGACTATTAAAATAATTATTTTTTCATGTTTTATTAAATTCATTCCATAGATAGATCGCCCAAGTCAATCTAATGAAAACACATAGAATAAAGAAGGGTATTACTGGACATTTACTAATAAAAAAGAGAAAAAAACCCTAATTTTTATAAATAACAACAGTTCATTAGTTTAGCGTTTATAAATAGATAAGTAATCCCATTCCCCAGAGGAGGTATAGGTCAGTGTCTCCGTGAAACTTTTAACTATGGTTGGCTGAATATGGGACTCAATTCAATTGACTAGAGTGATTACCCAAAATATCCCTGACTCCTCGTCACGCTATGGAAGAACAAGAGGGCGCGCCTTTTGATAGATAAATTGGTCCCTAACGTTGAAATTCATGGGTGGGTCACTACTTAACAGTTAGTGAAATTTATAAAATAGAATCTCTAATTAAAAATCAATTAAACATTATTACCACAGGAGTAGCTATTTGTCAATTTTTTGTTATGCGATGAAAAATCAATCTGAAATTTCAAATTTTCTTTGCACACTACCACAAAATCAAGCCTTCAGTTAATTTTTTTGATCTAAACATCATCAATTCTAATTTATAAATAAAAAATTTATTAGAAAAATAAATTTATAAACATGGTGAATTTTCAGAGCTGAATTTTGTTTTTTATGTTTTATTTTTAGAAAACTCCACCAACGAGTAGCAACAAGTTATCCAGAAATTGTATATTGAACATGAAAGCCACCAACTATTTGCTTTTTGCTATTAGAGAGATTTGTTTTTGTCTAATGAAAGTCATAGGAAGCTGCTGGAATAGGTAAAATAGTATATACCATAGAAAATAGCTTTAAAGAATTACTTTTTTTTTCCCTCAACTATGCAAAAATGTCGGCATAACATAATAAAAGACAAATCTAACCTAACAAAGACACAGATTTGCTCTAAACGCGTGTTATAGAACACACAAAAGCTGAATTCCAAGTTCCAGCTAAGTTCTCCCTTCCTAACTTAATAAAATCCAATTTAACCAAATCATTGTTGCCAATTGCTATGCTAATCTTATTTATAATGTATGTAATGCTTCATTATCAGGGAATCTCAAATGATTAGAACTTTGTCTAATCACTATTATACCATGACAATTATGGGACTGAGAATATGAATTATGGGACTAAAAAAATACACCTCATGCATTATCTATTTTGCTAATGCTGCACTAAGCACATCAATTATAATTTATCTAAAGGAATTTTCTTTTGTAAAGTATTGTCAAAGTATGTTTTTTTGTTGAATTGATTACCTTAATTACGAAACCATTGGCAACCGGAAACGCCATCTTATAGGGCCACCTTACTGCAAAACCTGATACAATGTACATAAAACAAGAGAAGGCAAGAATCTGATCAATAAATTTGTTTTGATTCTTTTCTTCTCTACTTTTTTCTCTGGGAGGTCATTTTCCATCTGTAAAGGTGTAAAGTTTCACGAGAATAAGTATCCTTACAACTCGCAATAAGAACCAGTAAGAAACAGTTTCTGAGGGGGTAAATACACATGGAAAGATGGTACAGGTCACCCAACCACAAAAGAGGAGGGAAACGTAATGTGATAGGTCAAAATCAAAAAACTAAAGCAAAGAGGGTATAAGATTATTAGCTAATGCTATGAATTAAAGGTCCCACTTAGGAGACAGGCCAAGATGCAGCTAACAATAGTAGAGATTATGGCTCTTCAGTAAGATGTAGGCCAACCTGAAATTCATGGGCCATAGTTAATAAAATTTATTCTTCAGTATGTACAATATCTTAGATGCATCGTAGCAGATACTGTGTGGGATCAACAACAAACAAATACTATCAATTTCTGGTGATATAAACCACAGGATCCATTTCCAACCAACTAATATTAAGAAGAAAAAGGACCTTTGGCCCCCTAGCAACTGCCACAGTCAGAATTTAATATCTTGTGGAAAATGTCATGCCTTTGTGAAAGTTTATAGCTTATCTTGCGGTAATCCAAAGAACAAATTTTCTGGTGTCAAACAACATATGGCATGATTGTATGCCCTACTCAAATGAAATCTTTTTTACCAGTGAACCACTGATTAAATAAATTGTGTATAAAGAAAAGCTTTTCTCACCTCAATAATGTATTTACACTGGTGGAAGAAGCTGTCTTTTAGTGATGTTCAGAAAGTACTAAAAAAACAAGGAAAACATAAAAAAAAGGAATCAGACTACTGAAGATAAATGATTTCTCATAAAACAAACCATTTAATTACCAGTTCTATGTTTAAACGCAGAGAGCCTGTTGAACAAAAATACAAATAAAAACAACTAAGCCTGAAATGCATCAAATTATGAACCATTTGTTTCCATATCTACTCTGTTGAATGCCTCTTTTGCTGACAGAAATAGAGAAAAACACATGGCTAATGAGAAATTTTAGTTTGCTTGTATTATTAGTACTCCAATGAAATTATGAATTTTATGAGGCAAAAAGTACATCCATTCAAAGAAAAAATTTAAATGCATCAAAAGTACATCTAAGTCAAAGAAATAATTTACATGCAATAACTAATACTGATATAAAAAAGACACCAGAAGCAGAACAGTAACAAACAAAAGACAGGGCAACAACGTGCAAGAACTACAGAATGATAAATAGTCCAGCAATAATAAATGGATTGCTCATTAAAATGATGAAGCAGGATTATTAGAAAGTGATGAGAACCAAACCTGGGCTTCAATATCTAAACAATGCTGAAAGGCAGATTTACCCTATGATTTATAAAGTACAGGCATCCATTTGAAGACGAGCATATAACAGGACATAATTCTTTATTTATTTATCATGATTCTGATGGAGTTCTAGTTAAAGTTGAAAAATAAACCATAGATCAACCATAAGTCAAAAATTATATAGATTTGAAGGCGTCAGTGCAACTAGGCAGGCAGAAAGGCCAATTGTATTTTAGCTTGGAATTTACCAAAAGAAATATATTCTTTTTTTGATATCCTGTTAACCTTGATAATAAATGGAATAACTATATAGCTTTATCAATTAACAGGCAAATAAAAATTTGTGTGCTTAACACCCATTCATGACTACTGTCCCTAGCATTTTCAGTACGGAATAGCTTCATTTCTTGTTCTTCAAACCTCTTCTTCCTTTCACTATTTTGTATGATTGGTTTATTTTCCAATAACAGACTGAAACCACTTCATGTTTGCTAAAAAGCAGCTCCTGACTCATTCATTAAGGACTTAAACTCCAAGGTGCGCAAACACCAACAAGAGTTCAATGAGTTTAATGTATGTAGTGATGAAACAATTTTACAGTTTATGCTTCTTGCAATGTTGAAAGCAGAGGTTTTTTTGTCATGTTATGTAGAATTATTAGAATGCAGGAACAAGGAGGACAATAAATGCACTAAAAAGAAACAATTGAAAAAAAGAAATATTAGAGTAAGTCAAAGTATTTTACTGGACATTCTTCCTTTCCCATCTGTAGAAACCGTAAAGTCAAACTCAGATAAGCAAGACCACAAAATTCCTTTGGTATTTTAAAGGAAAGGATAATGTAGAGGAATTCAAATCTCGAAAGACTCTAGCTTAATTGGCCAGGCCGGGTCTAGCAATCTAACTCTAATGAATGGTGATCTCACTGAGGCATTCAGCTCTGTGGCTAAGTTGAGAGATGCTTGATGAGCGCCTCAGTGAATATAACAGTTCCAACCCACACAATGGCACGACCCTCAATTTGAGAAGAAAATCATTTATAAAAATGCAATTTTGTTATAACATCCTCAGTCTCAGTCTTAAAGCAAAAGTGATCATTAATTTTTTTTTCCCTTTCTCCCTTCTTTCAATTTAAAATATTTAAATAGCACAGGTTCATAGCGTCAATATTTCAAAGGACGTGCTCATTGATAAACAACAATCTAAAATAAGTAAAATATTTTTGCTTTTTCACTGCAGCATGGAGATAAAATTCTCTTATTCCCTTCAATTAGCCTGCTATTTCTTTCCATTCAGTTCCATGGACAACCAAAAGAAATGAAGAATATTATAGGAACAAATAATTAATTAGTTTTTTTGCAAGATCAACACGTAGCATTACATGAAGGAAATTATTTTTTGATTTTTTATAATTATCTTAAGCAGCAACAATAATAGAGTTGAAATTCATATACCAAAACAAAAAAGATCCTTACATCATAAAGATGGAGAGATTAATAAAGCACAAGTAAAATAATATGAAATAAGGGTATGAAAGAATAACCTTTGTGGCTATGTGGTTAATGAAGAACTGAAAAAAGTAGGACAAGCACTGTCAAGCACTGTCACAAAAACTAAAATATCATAATGACATTGGACCTACAGGAAGCCAAGTTCACATAAAATGTTCAAAACAAAAAATGATAAACACATAGCGCTTACTATTGTCTTTAAGTTGATGAAGTACATTCATTGATGCATCACTTGTTCACCATCATTACCATCAACAACCATAACACTCTTTGCTGGTTCAGGATCTCCCTGGATAGCTTTTTCAGCATCATTGTCATCATTTCCTAAAACTCCTAGAATCTGGTTAGACAGATAACCATATCCTCCAAAGCAACGAACCAAACTATAAATGCATGTAGAAAGTTTTACAAAGAATTGGATATGAAGCAAAATAAATCATGTTGTGCAATCAGTTGGAAGTTGGAACTTTTACAAAGAATTTTAATTATCTTCCTTCCATAATAGCTTCTCTAGTGAACAGTCAACACTTGTTCAATTTTGTTTTCCCTAGGTAATAAAACATTGTGTTAAGTTAATAGTAGCATCACCAGGAAGAACTTGATAAATGCCTACCAATAAAACCAACTACATACAATATTATGAAGTGGTCATCCCTAAAGCTTAAAGTTAAAGGAACCAACAAATGACCCTCAGTCCATTGGACCAATCATATGCAAGTGAAAATTGTAATCTCCTGATACTTTTAGAACTTCAAAAAGCTTCTGCACTTATAGGTGAGAAAAAAGTGAAAAAAAAGGTTAAAAGAAAAACAATGCATCATCACAAACTACCACTGCATGATATACTATGCAAATCATGCATACAGCATCTGAGATTAGACCATTATAAGCATTGTAAGAGTTATCATATTATGATGACAAGTTATTCAATTCTCAATATGATATCAGACCTCCAAATATCAAATATATCGCTATCATTTATTACAAAGATATTCTCAGTTATGAGAAGATTGAAGTTCCCATCCATCCATAAAGCATGGGCAAACATGCTATTACAAAGGGCAAACTGTATTGGTTAAGATTATAAAATACAGGCCAATCATGATACTTTGTATTTCTTGAAATAGCTTCATTACCTCATTATCTAGATCTCCATTTTGAGTTGCATGCTTCCTCCTCAATTTGCATGCATTTGAAACTCTGAATGAGGTTGATGTTAGACTTTCAGCATTAGTTAAGTATTGCTCAGCAGGGAGATAAGTGCCTCTGCAAAAGAAATACACAGATTAATTTTGTGATATGCCAAGACTAAAACTAGCACTAGGCCTCTGTTTGGTTCCTTTTTTTGTTTTCAAAATAAAACTTCTGAAAATGGGCTAATGTATCTGTTTCAACACTTATTTTATCCTTTTTTGGTTAGTATATCTTACTACCTTTCTTGGAAACAGGAAGGAAAAAATCCTGAATGACCATTATCAAAAGATAAGTTGGTACAAATTTGCAGTGGCAGACATTATAAATCTAATAAGTGTACAATGTAAATAAATGCATTGGTGTCATTGAGTTAATGACATGGGAGAACGACAATCAGAGCACAAAGTAACAATCTTTTTGTACAAATGAAAACATGTGAACCCGATAAAAAAGACAAAAACTGTCAAGAGAATAACTGTTCTCTAGGAATCTTAGATTCAAAGGCAAGAGTAAGCTGCCAGTCCTCGACCAAATTGGGGAACTCTTTGGGATCTGCCAATGATTCGCAGCTCTTCTATTAACCTGCAATACCATAAATTGCTTACAAGTTTAAGAAATACTTGGATAGACACTGAAAAAGTAACATCCCATTTACTAGTTCAATTGGCAAGTGTAGAAAATACAAGATAACTACAGAAAAACCAGGTCTGATGAAGTTAAATTATCATCATGAAAGTATAAAAGAATAAAAAAAGAAATACCTCTCTACTAATTAACAGCTGCAGACACTTGTTCGCTTTGCTCAGCACGAACAGAGAAAAAAAGGCAACATTGTTATTCCCTTGCTCTTTAGCAAGAGGTGCAAGGCAAAATTCTTCCAGCATCCCCAGAGAGAGATAAAGAAGTAACAGACGCTCAAATCCATTCCATTTAATAAACTTTCCTTTGCCAATTCTAACTACATGAAAAATTTTAGACTTCAGAAACAGAATAAAATTAGACACAGGACTTTTATGATATATCAGATAGTCTCATCCACATTTAGATGAAGCATTAGAAAATATACACTCAGAAGGTCCATTAAAAAGTTTTTTAACTTGAATATTTTAGTGGAAAAGGATATAGAACGTTAGCCATCACTAAAATGATAGGAAAAAAATCTGCTATATCTTTACTAAATCCTATATTGATCCCTAACAAGCAACAAGACTTTTGCAAGAAAAGACAAATCAACAAGCCTAGTAAGTTTTGGCAAATTTTTAAACAAAGGAAATCAACGAAATTCCTAAGTCATTTCACCATGGATCAATTTGTTTAACACTAAGAATGCTGTATGTTCAATTATGTATAGAACCTTCAGATTTATGACTAAAGTTTTCTTGAGATTTCTCATCCAAAATGAACATGATAAATGATAATCAAGGAAGATCTTGCAAGGCTATAACACAAAAAACAGATGGCAATATATCCTAAGTGAAGAACTTTGCAAGACAAGAGACAAGTGTTTTAGTCTTGCAGAAGCATTTTATGAATAATGAGTTTCACAATTTGGAGGGATCAGAACCTGGAAATTTTTGCTAAAAAATCTTAATCTTTGTTGCTGCAATCCATAACAACACATTCCCCACTAAATGACCAAACAAAATCCAACGCTAAGCCAAAAGATTGCCAAAGCTGTATAAATATTGTACTTGACATCACCACAAAAACAACCAGCCTTCCATTAGGGCTTTGTTTCAAACTCTGACATACACCACAAAAGAAAATTCGTTCATAATTAAAACAAATAGCAAAAATGTGACACCTAAAGGGCAGTCTTTTAGCATCTGGATCACCAATATACTACAAGCATATGCAGAGAAAAATTAAGACATATAAGATCCGATATGAACCAAAAAAAAAAGAAAAAAGCAAGGACATAAATAGTTAAGGTAATGAACAAACATAAAGCCAAGAAAAAGGAGACAAAAAAGATAGCGTTTGTAGAAGATCAGAATTGAAAATAATAGACCGAAAAGTGATCTTTTTTTAATAGGTAAAATGATCTGTAAAATAAATGGGCATAAGGGATGAACATAAAAGACAAATGAGAAAAAAATAGAATGAAGGTAGACATACAAAGAAGAGCAGATTTCACCCAACTCTAAAAGTACAAAGTTCAGCGATGGATAAAGCAACAGTTCTTTCTTAACAGCGAAAAATCTGAATAAGGATTTGAGAACGCATTGTGTTTCTCTACCAATTTTTATCATAATTTCTTCCTTACCATAACCAATCACAATCCTGTAACATTAGAAAAATATATATATATATATAAAGAACAAGAAAACCTTAACTGTCAATACTAATGAATGGAACCTGTCTCTCATCTGAATTGTATAATTCTTGTTAAGATGACCCTAAAAGTAAAATTAAAAAGAATGACAGTACTAAGTGAACTGTTGAGGAATACTTTCAGAAAACAAATAAAAGTCAGCATTCTAGAGACTTGGATGAAAGGAAGATAGATAAATTGAATTCAGCCAGCTTACTGGCATAAACCTTCCTTACACCCAATAGTTCTAACCCGATAAAGACATAATTTAGGGCGCTTCCAAGCCTGTGAATTACTCAGCATGATTAAAAAATTTGGACAAGAAGCCAAATAATAATTTCAACTCAAGTAAAGATTCCAGAGCAAAATATGAATATAGATGTAAAGCATTATCAACACCACATTGTGGCCTATCTAGTTTAAGTCTTAAGTTGCATGAAGAATTAAAGTCAGCCACAAACATTACTAATTTTAGAACATTGGGTAATAGCATCCAAAAGTCTGAAATTATATATTCAGAGAGAAAGATGCAAAGTAATCCACTGGTAAGTTTTGGATTCATTAGAAAGTAAGTAACCTGAACAGGAAAGAAAAATGAGCAATTGACTTGCAAATCCTCCAAGAACATATCATTTCATCAGAATTCCTTCCTGCCCCACCTCTCTTCTCCCTTCTATGCAGTAGTTACAGCAGTGGAATGATATCTAGATACTGCAGTGCAACTACTGAAAGTTACAGTCTTATATATAGAGATACTAGAGTATTCCTCACAGAACTAGCAATAGCAAAACTCATAATTACAATCTAAACCCCAATATTGCAATTATGCCCTGCAGCCAGGGACAAAGCTACCTTGTGGAGGAGGTTAAAAAAAAAAAAAATTTCATTGACAACTTTGTGATTCAAACCTTGGCCTAGAGGAATTTTTAATTCACCTTTAACCATTTTGCCCCCCCTCCTTTTTTCCATAATATCCTCTTAATAAATTTTTATAGTATTTTGCCCCCCTCCTTTATAAATCCTAGCTTTGTCCCTGCCTGCAGCCTGCCGGAGCGTTGCACCCTGCACTCCTAACTACCTTTTTCCTCAGCAAGGTTCCATTGTGCAGTTATTTAATTACTTGGAGTACCAAAAAGTGCATTTTATTCTATTCCACATATTAGCTCGTTTTCTTTCATTTTTTTATCATTTGGAATGATAGAGGCAAGATGCATGAGCTCCCCAACCCTCTTATCTTATATCAACCTGCCTTTACCCATTTAAGGCTCTTTTAAGTCCTAATCCTTGCTAATGAAATTCAACTCCTTAGTTTTCTTATCAATTTTGGAATTTTTATCTCTTAACACTTTATTAAATCACAATTTATGTCCATACTCACATATCAAAGCCAATATTCAGACGATAGTTCTCCATATGGAATGCAAAAATATACTGATTATTTTTCCTCATTTTATGCCCAACTAATAGATGGAGAAGAATGGGCTTCAAGTCAATATGAGTTATACTATCTAATTAGATTGATCAAGAAAAGGAGGGGGACAAAGGCATCATGTTATAAAGGAAGAGAAAAGGTGTCTCTAGCACTTCATACATACTAATCATTATGGAGATTAACGCCCAAACAAAATCTCCAAGATTTAAGAAAAAAGACCCAGGAAGAACAAAAGAGAGTAAAAATAGAAAAAAACAATGATTCCATCGAGGAAGTAAAATAACATGCTGTAACGTTGCATACTTGACAATTACATCTCTCATGTCCCATCCCAATTCTAACTCCTATCAACCAATCATCTACTTGATCTTTCTCTTGGAACCATTTAAAGCTCTTTCTAAAAACCTTTTTTTACTTCGGAAATGCCTTTCCATATATCATCTGCAATGACTATTGAACATGTTGACAGTCCTTTCAAAGGATATGACTCAGCGTCAATTGCAAATTATCTTACTAATTAGTCTAAAAAATTTTGCCTGAAGGCACATTCAATGCTTTACAATGTATAAAATGGCAAACAGAATATTGACAACAACACAAAATGATATTCAGACAAATATTACTGACATGAATTTGGTAATTCCAAATATACAGTGTTCCTGAATAAAGACATACAATATCCTGCCAGATACAACATAAGGTTAAATATACTTGTTAGTGTAGTTGTAACCTATTGAAAACCACAGATACACTTTTTATATATATTCAATCAACAAAAAACACTGTCACCATCTGATGGTTATTCCACGGGTCGGTTGGATGCAGATAAAAAGATTCTACTCTGTCCATTCTTGTTAAGAATTTTCTCTGATTATCAAGTTAATGTTAATAGCAACACACATTCAAAAAGGGAAAAAAAAAAAAACACTGAGATGATATGAATAAAGAGAGTATATATAAAAAAAAAAAACACCTGAGATGAATATGAATAAAGAAGAGGTAATATATATATATATATATATATTATATAATATTTACATACAAGATAAAACCTACCAAATTCAAGTCTCAGAGGCCTGCAAAAATCACCACAAAAACAGCAGGATAAAGAAAATTTCATCAGTTTCAAAAACTGATTAAACAAAAATCATACATTTTGAAGTCACTGCTTCTAATCCAAGCAAACCGCAACAAAATTGAAAAAATCCTCTGCTTCTGTTGTCAATGCATTTCTAGTTAGCAAACAATAAAAAAAAAAAGCCAAATAAAAACAAAAAAACTAAAAATAGAATTCCAAAATTTCTAACGACAAATGCCTCGTTGTATATATACATACAAAGATAAACTACCCAAATATCAAGTCTCAGAGGCTGCAAAAATCACCACAAAAACAGCAGGATAAAGAAATTTCATCAGTTCAAAACTGATTAAACAAAAATCATACAATTTGAAGTCACTGCTTCCTAATCCAAGCAACCGGAAACAAAAATTGAAAAATCCTCCTGCTGTCTGTTGTATGATTTCTAGTAGCAAACAATAAAAAAAAAAAGCAAATAAAAACAAAAAACAAAATAGAATTCCAAATTTCTAACCCAAAATTCTCGTTGTTTTCATTTTTTTGAGCTAACCAAACTGACGAAGTTGCCTAACTTTATTTGCTCAAAGTACTCATAATATTTCTACTATTTTCTACTCATTTTGAGCAAACAAACAAAGAACAAAGGTTAAATAAAGTATGCAAACTTGCCATTTTTAAACTTTGGAGGAGAGGAACAAAGGTACCAGAACTTAATCAAAGGATGCTAATTCTTGTAGCGAAGACTAGTGCAAAGTTTTTTTTGGGTCAAGGGATCAAAGATGAAACCAGTAGCTGATTAGTCAGTACTAAGAAGTGAGAAGTAAGTTTATTTTTCGCGCTCGCTAAAGACGAAGAAACAGTGTCTAGTTTAGCGTGGGAGAGCGAGAGAGCAAATGATCTAAAATGGAGAGGGTGCGGGTTTCTCATCTTCTCCCCCAACAAGTTTGCTTGGGCCTAGCCAGTTTTGTTGCTCTTCAAGTTTGCTTGGGCCTAGCCAGTATTCTTCCCCATCTCGTTTCTGATATGAACAACTAATATTTCCTAAAGCAATTTTTTTCATTGCAATAGAGTTTTATGAAAAATTTAAGCGAAAATTACTATTTTATCCCTCAATTTTGACCAAATTAATAATTTCATTCATGTATTTTGAAAAATTATTCATGTATTTTGAAAAATTACTATTTTATCCCTCAGTTTTGCATATGGTCTTGTCTACAAAGAAGAATGAGAAGCAATTATCCAATGTTAAACCAATCCCAAATATAAACAAAGAAACATATTCATTCATTCATCCATCCATTTACATATACACACATACACACGTATATATGTATATATACGTATAAATACAAGATAATAATTTGATACCCTGCGAACAATTCTACTCCTGCGTACGATTAAACCTGTATGGTACGAAAAATGCACCTTCTAATTCTGCAATTTGATAATATCCCTGTTCATACAAATTATACATTGGAGCCACAAATATTATTATTTTGGATATGACCTAATTCTGCAATTTGATCATATCCATATTGATAGAATTTACACATTGAAACCTCATACATTATTATTTTGGATATGATCACAACTAAATCCAGCCATTAATTGCATTCCACTAGAAGAAATCCAATTGTCCTGTTACTTGATATTGCTTATCTTTAGAAAGTGAAAATAAACTTGCTTCAACTGCATCTTCAATGGACAAAAATATGGATTCCTTGCCAATCTTATCTACAAAGTGTGACCTTATCATTTTCTCCAAAACATCCAATCTAGGATTTATAATCACCATCTACATGAAATAATAAACACAATTAGCATCCTTTTTTATTTATAATTCACGGATGTAAAAAAAGTTTGGTGATATACCTTAATTTCTTTTGCATTTAACATTTTACAAATTTCAATTAACGTTTCAATACCCGTTGTATCGATGGATGTGACACCTATAAAATAATAGATTTAGAATGTATTAGTATTAAAAGTTCACTTCAAAATTAACTTTACTACCAAATGATTAAATTATCCATACCCGATAAATCTAGCAAAACATGTTCGACTATAGATCCTTTCAATTCAACAATATCCTCTTCATCACGAATCCATCGAAAAATTCTATTAAAAATTCCAACATTATGTCAAAATTCTTTTATCTTATTCTTTTAGTATCACTTACATAAATTAACAATATATATGTGTATATATATACTGTGTGATTATATACCTTTCTCTTATATAATTGGAATTGGAAAAGTAGATGGGGGAACCAAGTTGCAAGACAAGAACTCCCGGCATCCTTGTCAACCCAGGATATTGTTCTGTGTCACGATATAAATTTGAGTCTGAAATTTTTCCAAGTCTACAAGTAGCAGGCCTAGCAGCATATAGAAGTGTCCTCAGCAAAGCAAGCCCAACCTGAAATTTTCCAGGAAAAAAAATTTAAAATTGTGAATCAGACAAGATTAACTTTTATAAGTATCCAACTGCAAAATGTGTATGTATTTTATATATAGAGTGAGATTCTTACCGACATAATTAGACCATAGTCCATGCTTATGAAGGCAACTCCAAAAAAGGCCGCCATACAAATGACAAAATCGAACTTGTCAACTTTGAACAAGTGATAAATCTCCTCGTAATCGATAAGTCCAAACATTGCAGACATGATAATGGCAGATAGGGCAACAAGAGGGGTGTAACGAAAGAGAGGAGCCAAGAATAATAGTACAAGCATCATGCAAATTGCCATCACAATGTTAGACATTGCTGTCCTACACCCTGCATTAAAATTCACTGCAGTTTTCGAAAAAGGTCCTGCAATCAAACATAGTCCAAATCAAGATTTTAGCATCACAATCTCTCTGTCTTGTAATATAAGAGAAAATAAATTCATTTACCAATTCAGGATTGACTTGCTTAGATTTCATCTATAAGCTCATCCATGGACCAAATTAATTAAACAGTATTTTTCTTTTGTTGCATTTCAAATCATCCACTCAGGGGAAAAAAAAATAGCAATAACTTATTATAAATTTGTTCGGCAAAATGAGTTGTTTTCTATTTTAGTAGCGTTTAGATAGCTTTTCATGAAATTATAAAAGCTAAATGCTATATGGGTTAGATTTTTCACAAAAGTCTGCCTTAACTTCTAAAAATTAATTCAAACACTATATTATCGAACATTAAAACTCTAAAAGCTACTTAAAAAGGTATTTAAAAAGTTACGGCGGAGCATATAGTCTATATGACTAAACCTGTAGACACAAGTCTAATCTCACTGCGGAGAAGTGAGTGTCTGAAAGTATAAGCTTAGGCCCAAAAATGATTTATCTCTAACACTCCTAAGAAAGGCCTATTAGGCTTAGAGGCTTTGAAAGTTAAATAAACAAGCGGCTCTAAAGAAAACTGGGCCTTAGACTGAAGTCCATTAGATAAGAGGAAATTATCTACCAGTGGTCAAGTAGCAAGAAGTGAAAGAGCCAACAAGATTCATGAGACCAAAAGCTATCATCTCTTTATTCCCATCAACTTGTTCATTTTTCATTATTGCAAAGCTCCTTCCTATTGCTATCCCTTCCTGCAATAATAATAATTAATTTTACAATTTGAATATTATACCACTTAATTAACTCAAATAATAATAATAATAATAATAATAATAATAATAATAGAAATAATCCAAGAAATGGCATTCTTACAGCTAGAGCAATGAGACCTGTGATGATGCCAGCCTTCAAAGTCACTCCTAGATATTCAGATTTAAAGTTCAAATACTTAATGGATATGGGATTTAGTCCTTTACCGATGTGACCCACCTAATTAAGGAAAAGGAAAATAATTATGATTAATTTAATATAATAATTTAATTGTGATTAATCCACTAATGAAATAATAATCTATTAAAAAAACGTTAGCTTACAATTTGAATTCCATGTTTGTCGGCATGAGCAAAATAGGCGAAAAGACAGCCAACTATAACAACCACCATTGGAGCTATTGCTGCCACCCAAAACAGATTTGGTCTTTTCTTCCTCTGAAAATCCACATGTTCGATATGAATTTTATTGTATATGTTTTATTATATAACTCTCAATTTAAAATTAATATTATTGCATCTAATAAAGTGTTGATTGATCTTTCTTTTAGTTTTTCTTCCTTATAAAAATGAAACCATATTTATGAAATTTTGAAGAAAATTCAAAAGAAAACTTATAAATTTGACATAAATTAATTAAAATTTTTTTGACTATCACACTAATGTTGCTTCCCTCGAATTCATCTATTAATGTCTTTTTTTATCATTTTAGATTAAACAAATAATTAAACAACTATTCTTAGTCTTACGGAATGTTTTTAATTTAAACCGTTATATAAATAACTGTCTGTTAACATCGAACAACCAAGAATTAGTAGAACAATTAATAATTATTACAATTGACATCAATACATTATTTGTATTAAATGTCATTACATTTAATAATTTATTACTTTTTCAGCGAAAATATACTATTGAATTAGCTTGGTCCATAGATAGAGTTGTAAATAAGTATTTCTTAGACTAACAAAAATTTTTTTTTTTTTAATAACAGTCAATTACTCCGGCCATGAACAGTGAAGCGTTAGAATACAAATGTCACTTTCTGTTTTCCCTTCCCCAGTTGAAGTAATTTGGACAACATCAATACAAATATTATATACTCATAATTTTGTCTGTATTCTAAAATTCTGTGTGGGTCAATCCTGCAACGATATATCAGTTTCCAGTGTCTTTTCTTGCCATAATTTATGATAGTCACTACTTGAAATAAGCTTATTATTAATAATTAAAAAAAATGGAAAAAGCTAAAAAATTTATTTTTTTAATCATAATTATTGGTTATGATGGATAAATTAAAAGATGTCTTACCACTAACCGAGCGGACTGTAGAAAAATAAGGAAGACAACACCCACAACTGCACTTTGCCACTTCCACTGTAAAAGGAAAAAGAAAGAAAAAGCAAATTAGAGTAGAAAAATTTTATACCCATAACTTAAAATCTTAAACGTGCATGTACATGGATGTTTCTTCTTCGATTTTATAAAAACATAAGCACTGTCATACTCTGATTCTTAGGTAAGAAATAATCTACTTTTTTTTATGCTATTTTGAAAATAATTTTTCATAAAATGTCAATAAATAGTTTTAGAAGAAATGCCAATTAGAAAGTTAGTAAAGAACAATGCTAAAAAAAAAAAATACAAATAAGTTTTTTTTTTTTTAAAAAAAAATTTGCATTCTTTTTTGATAATGGAACTATTTTTGTTTTTGATAATTGTTAATGGAACTATTTTAATTTCAAGATTCATAATTGGTTGCTACATCTATAAATATTATTTCATAGATCACTCCTTCTATAAATGTTTTTTCACAAATCAAAACACAGAGCACCTTACTGAAATAATGATATTTTTTTAGTTTTCCTTTCAATCCTTTTGAGGCAACTGTTTAACCTCCCATATTGGATGAGATCCTTAATCTAGAAAGTATATAACTAAATAGTAAAGAGAAAAAAAAAAACAAAAAGAAAAGCAAAAGATAAGACAGAATGACAGAGATACGTTTCTTTCCCTTTTTGTTGATTAGATTCATGTTGATCTGATCTTTGACAGAAAGAAAATATATTTTTATTTTATTTTTGTCAATCTTACGAACCTCGTCTCTGTGCTGAAAAACTGCGTGCAAGACAGAAACCACATCAGTTTTGGTGGTGAAATGTGTCAATCCCAACATGCCTTTAAGCTGTTGAAGGCATATAAGAGTTGCAGTTCCTCCCATGAAACCAGTAATAGTTGAATGCGATAAGAAATCCACCAGAATCCCTAACCTGTATATATAAATATATACATATATATCAAAATAATAATAATTATAGTAATTATATCAAATAAATTTTATTTATTTTACCTTAGAAGACCCAGAATAGTTTGAAAAATTCCGGTGAAGAAAGTGGCGGTAAAGACCAAATATAGATACAATGTCGGATCATCTTTTGGCGATACTTTTTCTCCAATTGTATGGGCTAGAAGCAACGAGCAAGCAGCCACAGTTCCGACTGCTATATGCTTCGAGTTCCCAAAAATGGCGTAAACGAGAGGAGGAATAAAACTCGAGTCTGCAAATATTAATTTTTAATATAACTAATAATCATTTAAGAACCTGCATCCCAAATCTTAAAAGAACAAAGAAAAGAAAAAAAAAAAACCACTTACATAGCCCAATAATAGGAGGAAGATTAGCAAGTTTAGCATAACTAATCCCTTGAGGAATGGCAAGGGAGGCAATGGTGATACCCGCAAGCAAGTCGAATTTGAAGGTTCGAAGATTATAATTTGGTAGCCATTCATAAATTGGAACAAAATATTGTACTGCTTTTTTGAATTTATCAAAGGATTTCTCATTCCTAAACTGTCTAAACGGATCATCAGGAAAGAAGGTTTCTTTGCAATGAGATTTGAAGGTTGCTCCAAAACTTCTTGGGGTAGGAAAGTTAACCTGATGGACATTGGGATCCGCCACCGTGGAACCCATCGACGCTGGTGCGAGTGAGTGACCGAGCGAGCGAGCGAGTGAGAGAGAGGAGTTAGAGGAAGAGAGGGAAGATAGGAGATGTGTAGAGCTCAGAGTGCTATTTGCTCTCAATTTTAGGGTATAGGGTGAGAAGAAGTGTATGCGGCTAACATTTATATAGAGGTGAGTGTAGTGGGGGATGATACATGGATGACAAAGAGGATAAGAAAGTCTGACAATGATTATTACTATGCTACTTGTCTAATTGAAATTTATCTTGCAAAAAGTTTTAGATTAACCTCTCATTTTAGAGGAGAGGAAATCTTTAAGGTAAAAGTAAATAAGTAAAAAGTAAAAAGTAAAACTTTTTGTCTAGCTAATTAAGACTTAGCTACACTTGTTATATAAATACACGAGTCTATTTATATACTAAACCAATCATAAACAGTGTTTTAATTTAAATATTATTATTTTTGATCATAAACTGAGTGTAGACAAATCTTATTTTTAGGATATTAATTATTATAATATGATAAAATAAAGTATTGGAGTAAAATTATTAAAAAAAATAAAATTTAGGGATTTTTTTTATCCTTTGGCTTTTATCTAATTATATAAAAGTTTCAGATACTATCTACGGGTGTATATAGGATATACTTTGCAGGTGTAATTAACAACTCTTATCCTTAATGGTAATTTCCAAGTCAGAATTTACCACATTTTACGATAATACATTATCCTGAGTAATTGGAGAATGGGTGAAAAGTAAACCGATATATAAGCACGTACAACGTAAAACGTGAAATTCCTATTAATTTTTTGGGTGGAAATTTTCAAAATCCATTTTTAATATTAATTAAATTTTAAGGTAATTAATTAATTAAAAATGCACGTACCTGGTCTTGTCTTAAGGTGTATCGCATTTGTCTTAAGGTTCCCTATCTATTATTACTAAAAAAAATATATTTTAAATAAATTTAAATTTAGATAATTTAAAATTCTCGAGTACTGTTTAAATGGGTAGGGATAGTAAAAATTTAGATGGGATCAAATATGAATATTTAAATGAGTATTTAAATGGATTTATAACGATTATGTACACTAAAATTTTAAATGGACATGAATATTATTAAGAATCCCACATCAACTAAATACCAAATCCACAAAGGGCATATAAGGGTGCTAAGTTAGTTAGCTAATTGGTTAGTACTAATTTTTTAACAATGGTTGGCCCAAGCCCAAGTAAGCCCATATCATATATTTTCATCTCATGGGTTCTAACCTCTCACCCAGTCCACATCTACCCTTTCAACTTCTAATAAATATGAGTAGCTTGAAATTTCAGTAAAAACTTTAGATGGGAATCAAATATAATAATTTAACATGAGTATTAAATGGATTTTATAACGATTATGTAACACTCAAAATTTAAATGGACTGCCTAATTATTAAGAGAATCCCACCATCAAAACCTAAAATACCAAATCACAAAGGGCATATAAGGGTGCTAAGTTAGTTAGCTAATTGGTTAGTACTTGTAATTTTTTATACAATTGGTTTTGGCCCAAGGCCCAAGTTAAGCCCATTTCATACTATTTTTTTCATCTCAATGGGTTCTAACCCTTCACCAAGTCTCACATCTACCCTTTTTCAACTTCTATTTAAAATTTGAGTATGCTTGAAAATTTATCATATATTTTCATCTCATGGGTTCTAACCTCTCACCCAGTCCACATCTACCCTTTCAACTTCTAATAAATATGAGTAGCTTGAAATTTCATCTCATGGGTTCTAACCTCTCACCCAGTCCACATCTACCCTTTCAACTTCTAATAAATATGAGTAGCTTGAAATTTCCGGATCCGCTCTGCTCCCATTCCTAATCGGGACAAGTGCTATATACTTATTAAGTAATTAATTAATTAAATTTTTAAAAATAAACTAATATCATCAACAAATCAATTATAGTTTTGAAATTACAAAATAATATCATTTTGAGCATGCAACCGAACCGACTGCTAAAACTCACAATCTCTCAACATAATTAGCACAAAAAAGAGAAAGCAAAAGGGAAAAAAAAGACTAGGTTAAATGTGCAATATTGCTTATTGACACAACAAGGAAGAAAAATAAAAAGGAAAATCGTGTGAAGGGAGGAAAGTTAAACACAGCCCAATTATGAATTATTGAAATTTTGAATTTTTGTGAGAAAATGTCAATTGATTATGAGAGGAAAAGAGAGAAATAGACTGAAAATTTCACCAAAGAAATAAGAGAACAGATAACATAAAAAACATTTGAAAATTACATATGTTGTCTGTTACCCTAAATGAATATTATTAAGACTAACTACCAGAAGAAGATGCTTACTTAAACGATTCCAGGTTGGATTGCACGTCTAAGAAAAAAGACGAACGTGGATGAAGAGATAAAACCTTGACCAGAAGTTATTGCTTGTTGGCTTGTTGCTTGATTATAATATATAAATTTTGGAAATTATTATTTTTTATATACTATAAAAAGAATATGGCATCATAATTATATTCACATAGTAAAAGATTATTCATAGGGTGGTTGACTCTGCAAATACAATAAATAAGTACGAGGTTCAGCTACATTAGTCTCGTTTTCGTTTCAATTTTTTTTTTATTTTTCCCTAAGAAGGATAAAAAATATAATATATTTGGCTAATAAAAAATTTAAGGAGATAATTTTAGAATTTTTTTTTTTGAGAAAGTAGTATTAAGTATTTGTTAGAATTTGAGATAGAAGAATGTATGTGACTTGCATATCAAGATATAATTTAGTGGTAAGTGCATGCACGACCAGACAATATATCCACCACCGCTGCCGATAGGTTGAGGATAACTCGCTGCCACCACCGCCTTCAAGGAGTTCCGCCGGTCAGGTTAGTTTCTTCTTTTTTTTTTTTTTTTTTTTTCTTCTTTTTTTTTTTTTTTTTTTTTTTTTTTTTTTTTTTTCCTTTTCATTTTCTTTTATTCTGTCAGTTTAGTTTAATATTTTTTTTTTTTTTTTTTTTTTCCTTTTCATTTTCTTTATTCTGTCAGTTTTAGTTTAATAGGTAGTTTTAGCTTTTTCTTTTTTTTTTATGTTTTTTTTTTGTTTTGCAATTATTGATAATTTATGAACGTGAATCCTTAATTTATTGTTTTGTTGTTTTTGTAAACCTTAATTTGTTTTTTTTTTTCATTTTCTTTATTCTGTCATTTTTGTTTAATAGTTAGTTTTAGCTTTTTTATTTTTATGGTTTGTAGAATTTGTAAACCTTAATTTTTTTTTTCTTTTCATATTCTTTGATTTCTGTCAATTTTAGTTTATAAGTTATTTTTAATTTTTTTTATTTGTAATTATATTTAATTTGTAAATGTGTAGGTTAAAGGCAGGGTGGGTGTAAAAGGGGAATCTCATGACTTGAGTATAATCTTTTGAATAAGTTAAGTTTTTTTCTAGATTTAAAATAATAAAATAAAAGTTCTTTTTGCCAGTAAAAAATCCTTCATCTGGTTTATTTACTAATTTTCTATGAAATATATTAAAAACAATCACCACAGTAATTTAAAAAAAAATTTAAGCAAATTAATGATTTTTTTTATTTCTAGTTTCTACTAAAATAGTTGAACTAGTTACCTATTTCAAGAAATTGAGTGGTCAAACTAAATTTGAATTTCCATTTAATTTGGGAATTCCTTACAAATAGAAACATGGTGGTTGGTTTCATTTTTTAGGAAATTAGACTTTCAAAACCTTTCCTTCCCCTCCCAAAAAAAAAAAAAAAAAAAAAAAAAAAAACCTTTTACCTTCCCTCCAAAAAAATAAAAAACAAAATAAAAAAAAAAAAGAAAAGATAATAATCACTATAACCACACCTATGAAATCTCTAACACATGGACACTGATCTTATACTGACGTCAAGGTATGAAGAACTCTAAGTAGATGCCCATATAAGTAAGATAACAAAAGTTGAAATAAATAGTAAAAAAAAAAAAATACACCGAATTAGCGAATTATGAAATATTTTGAGAAGAGAAGAGAAAACTTCATCTAACTCTATACGACAAATTTTATTAAAAAGGGGTAAGTGAAGTTACATATGGACCATTAGCAAATAACTTGTTGATTGCAAGAAGATTTCTCTAGACCGCAATAAATCCTATTCAAACTCTATTTCATAAAGAATTGTAACATAGAAAAATAACACGACAGGGGAGCTCAGTTGACACAAAAAAATACCTTGAAGCGGGCTGAGGCGAATAACGACCAAAGTCTTTGGATTAGGAAGCCCTTCTAATAGTATAAATTTTCCAAAAAAAAAAAAAAAAAAAAAAAAAGAAAGATATCTATAACCCACCTATGAATTTCTAACACATGACACTGATTTTATTGCGTCAGTGGAATTAGTAGATGCCATATTAAGTAAGATACAAAGTGAAATAAATATAAAAAAAAAATACAACAATTAGGAATATGAATATTTTGAGAAAGAGAGAGAAACTTCCTCTAAATCATATCGACAAATTATAAAAGGGGTAGTGGTTACTATGACATTGCTTGTTGCATTTGCATAAGAAGTCCTCTAGAGATTCTTTCAAAATCTATTTCATAAAAGAATTGTAACTAGAAAATCCGAAGGGGAGCTCAGTGACAAAAAATACTTGAAGGGGTTGAGGGATCCACGAAGTCTTGGATTGGAGCCCTTCTTAGTATAAATTTTCCACGAGTCAACTCTGGTACCTTTTGAAGCGAATGAAGAATAATAAAGTTATATAGACCGTTAAACAGATACAGATATAGACATAACAAGGTTAAAAAAAAAAAAAACTAAAAAAAGTATTGATTGAAGCAAACATGCATTAATAGTCAACCTATCCATTATAATTCATCAAATTTAGAGTTTGGTTGGCTTAAGCTGAGAAAACTACATTTCTTCCAAGAATAATTTATTTAAAATGTTATTAAATATAGCAATTTAGAAATATTATTAAGTTATTTTTTGATTTTTTTATAATTAAAGATATGAACATTTATATTCTTAATGTATTTAGTATACATATTGTTTGAATTGATAAAAGATCAAATCCATAGATTTATTAAATTCATGAAGCATAATTAGTAGGTGGTGAATTCTATAGAATCTCA